TGACTCCGAGCCGACCAGTCCTTGTTTTAGCCCCTTAATGCCGCGCGCCAGACAGGGTAACAAGAAGTACCATCTTTTAACGTCATTTGGTATGACGCAGCCGCGGATCGAACCCCGGACCTTCCGCTCTCCTGGCAGACGCTCTATCCGCTAGACCACGGAGGCGGTCGGTGAAGCTAGACGGTTCTTAAAACGACAGTTCGTGTTAACTAATTTCGTTCATATCCGTAGTTGTCTTTTATTACTTGCTCGTGAAGAGATCACCCGTTAAATAAACATACAGCTGTATTACACATTGTGTAATACCAAAACGCGTGCTTATGTACTCTCGGAACACGTTTCACGAACAAATATTGAAAGCTCTCAACATCCCTTGGCTTATTCAAAGACATTGCGTGTGGAGTTGATAGATCATTGAGAGGAGCTTATGCACACTCGATGACCCAGCAACCTTGTTGATAGGCTGACGTCACATGGCATTGTTTCGCCGATGGATCTTGCAAAAATTTCCACAAATTACGTCATCGGGTATTGTGACGTGATTGTAAACTTTGAGGTGCAAGGCCCGTTCCACAAGGCGATCGTATTGTAGCGCAACGACAGTCGTTAGGCTAAGTTAAAGTATGCGAGTTGCGATAGTCTTAGCCCTACAATAATTTTGTGGAACGGACACCTGAATTCTAAAGGTGGGCCGTTGTATGGTATTAAATTCATACGTTTCAACTACGTGTTTGAAGTATTATTCTGTTAAACTCAATTGGACTATGCCGTGGATCGTGTAGGTGTCAGCCTGTTAATACTCAACAGTAAAATTATAAAAACGTTATAAATGGCAAGTAATAAATAAAATACTAAACTCGCTCCCGTGTAAAACCAATTTTATGAAACTCGTGAATAGTTGTGATATCTGACTCGCTTTCGCTCGTCAGATACCACAACTATTCACTCGTTTCATAAAATTAGTATTACACGGGAGCTCGTTTAGTATTCTCTATTTATCCTCTATACCTCCAGGGCTCGCATTTCGGTAAACCTACACCGAGATATTGTAGGTTTACCGACATGCCAGCCATAGCATTTCTAAATTTCTTTTTTCAAATTATGTACGGGGAAAATTTAAAATATTGCAGCACACAGTGTTTGCAGCGCATCGAATATGCATTTGACGCCCCTTGATCCAATGGCGATCTCTCATTGGTGAGTGAGCGAGTGATTATGATTATACGCCGCTTTTAACAATATTCCAGTAATATCATGGCGGGGAACACCAGAAACCGGCTTCACACATTGTACCCATGTCGGGAATCAACCCCGGGTCTTCGGCGTGACGAGCGAACGCTTTTACCACTAGCTCCCAGGCAGCATGACACAATTGGGCCAATGCTGGCTGAGCGTTGCCAGTATCGCCAGTGCCGGTGTCCCGGTATAAACTCTCCCCCGTACAAATTCTACCCCCGGAGATTTTATACCGGTACAGATTCTCCCCCGGAGAATCTGTTCTGAAATAAAATCTCCCCCGGGCGGATATATTTCGCGCCCCCCTCAGTATAAAGTCTCCCCCCTGATTATTCGGTTTGTTGCAATGTCTTTAAGTACTATATTCTTTAAATGGTTATCATTAATGTAAGGAGGGTTACTTTGAAAAATAGATTATGAAATATGGTCATAATGAATTGATATTTCAGCATATTTTATTTGGTAACTGTACCTTCCATCCTAAAATAATTATAAGACATATATCATACCAAACAAATTTAAATGAAATGACTTAATGTAACAAATACATGTACGGTTACTGTTGTAACTGAATTCAGAAATCTTATTAATCCTCGCAAACATTCGGTTTTAACACTAACTACGTAAAAACTGTCAACATATCCACGCGCGCCTCCAGCTCAGGCTGTCCGTTATACTCTGATTTAAGATCTGAAAATGGTATCAGTGTAATATCAGTGGCTAGAATATCATGGTGCAACCAGGTTTCTGTTAAACGCCCCCACACATACAAGTAACTAAATGTATATTTAGATAAATATATAACCCAGAAAAAAAAGGAGAGAAAAAAACAAATAAAAAAATACATAAACAAATAAACATTAAAACCTTGAGAAATATGAAAAGCCAATGTGTAATGCTAAAGCACGAAGACACGATAAACTGTGCCAACATTACAATGTTCCCCGATATGCATGCTTTACCTGGGTTACATACGGGTGATCTAAGTTAGAAATATATGACTGATATAAATTCTTTAAACACGGTAATATCGAATATGCTTGGATTATCTTCTTTCTTTTTTTTTAAATCTGCTCCATTCACGAAAATTATATAGAATTATGTATATACTCTCCCCCATGTATTTGGCTTTTTTATGTAAAAGCTTTTTACACCTTACACATTTTAATTACAGATTCCTTTGTTTTGATTTTAATGCAAACAAACCAGGCTTTACAATGTATTTTGTTTCAACAGATTTTTATACATAAATATATGAATGGGGATTGACAAATAAGCTTTACTGGTTTATGTAAAAGCGGCCGCCCTTTAGGCTGTGTTTCCATGTGCGAGGTTTGGGGCACGTTTAGGGAGGCGGTTGAAATGCTATCGCAAAAACTATGCTTAAAAGTTCGGCGACTTAGTTTCCATTGTGCGCGGTTTGGCGCGGTTTCACCAACTGCAAACCGGTAGAGGTTGGTAAAACCGCGCAAATCGAAACAGTTCATTTATGATGTAGTATTTCCATTGGCGCGGTTAGGACCGCTTGGCTAAAAAAAGTCGAACAGTGCTCGATTATCTTGAACCGCGTGGTTAGCCCAGTGGTTCTACCCGAGCCAATGGTAATTTTACAGAATAAGGCCTAATTTCCTTTGAAAAAAACCTTGCATAGCGGTTTGACTAATCAGCATTGATTTTGACTCCATAAAATGTCATAAAGTATCAGGGGTCATTTCAACTTGCAAAATGATTGACATAGTCCTTTAAAGAGTGAGGATTGGGCTGTTTTCCCACCCGATTGACTGATATTACAACATTTACATGGTATAGAATGGTACAATGAATGGTAAAGCACGCAAATTACACTATTACGCGATATTTCATAAGAAAATATCATATCTCCGTTAAAACATAGAACCAATATTTATGAGTATCCCCTGAACCCGAAACTGACTCGCTTAAATATATACATGCCAAAAGCCATGCACGCAAGTAAAAGTTGTTCAGAAGCTGATATTCTCCATCAAAATATACCACAAGGACACCACATAGCAAAAGCATTTTTAGACAATTACAATTGTTGAACTACTACAACTATTTTGACGTTTAACGACCGCTTCTACCTCAGGCAATTTCGCAGTCGGGGTAGGTGGGGGTAGAAACTGTTGAAAAGTTGAACTGCATGACAAGTCTATATAAATAGTTCGGGGGAGAAAATATTCCGTGAGTCCTCGTAGAAAAGTCAGTGTCTGGACTGTGTGTTTTCTTTGATGAGAATGTTTCTCACCGACCCTTAGCGTGTAGGGGTGTGATGTCCTGGGCAGGAAATGACAGTGTTTTGATTACTCGTCTTTCATTAATTAACGTGTTGGGCATCCCTAATTAACGGCACCTCAGCAAAACGTCACCGGGCGAAAACGGCACCTCGACTCGAGCGAAAACGGCACCTCGACTCGAGCGAAAACGGCATCTTACTTTTTTGTTTTACCTTGGTCAAATAAATGATATTAAACTTACATTGTAACTCGCAAGCGCCAACGACCTAACTAAGGCAGGCAAACAAATAACCTTCTTGTGGATACCCGCCCACGTAGGAATATACGGTAATGAAAACGCCGATAAAGCAGCTAAACTATCCCTCAAAATCCCAGAAATAAGCTTAAACTTACCCATCTCAAAATCAGAAATTAAAAGTGTAAACAAGCAAAAAATCACAAAAAAATGGCATAACCTATATCTAAACTCAAATAGCCAAATCAAAAAAGTGCTCAGCAAACCACTAACCAAACCAAAAATTCTCCATCCATCCAAAAAAATCGACAGAGTAATCACTAAACTCCAAACAGGACACACCAACCTAAATAACCACCTAATGTTTTTAAAAAAACACACTACAGGTAACTGCCCACACTGCAAACAACCAGAAACCCCAGAACACGCACTCATCCACTGCACACACTACCTAACACATCGAACCGCATTACAAACCAACCTCAATATTTAATCTAAACAAGGCTCTAACTCTAGAAGCAATACTAAACCCACAAAATAAACTAGAAAACTTCAAGGCCTTAGGCGTATTCTTAATAAAAACGGAACTAATCGTTATTAAAAATAGAGGTGCCGTTTTCGCCCGACACATAGTAGCCGTTTTCGCCAAATGCGGTGCCGTTTTCGCCAGAGAAATCGGTGACGTTTTGCTGAGGTGCCGTTTTAGCCTGCACCCATTAACCTTTGCTAATTCATGTTAAACCAACACAGGATGTTTTCTCGAAGTGGACAATCGCGAATGTCATAGGGCTGACACGACACGTGTTAATAACTGTCCTAGAACTTCTAAAGTTACTAAACATTCTTCATATCTAACGACTAGTATTATATCTACCTATATACCACTTTATTGTCTCATATTGCGGTAGTTAAAGAAAACACAGTGCTCAAAGTGAAGCCCTTTTCTCTCCACATTCTCAACATCGTCTCTATCAGAAGTGTTTGGCTTGTCTATAGATGTAAACACATTTGATGATACATCCGTGTGTTTAAAGTAGATTTTGACAGTCCGGGCCAAATCGGACCCAACACAAGCCAAACACAAGTATTTATAACTTATTTCGTATGGCCCAATTATGTAATGCTGCCTGGGAGGCTATCCGATCGCCCCTCTCTCATTTAACTCAGCGCTGCAGTTGTGCTCACGTGAAAACGTGGTGCCATTCAACACGGTTTAGGGAGTAAGATATCCCACTGTACTATCAGTAAACAAACACTAAAGTTTGGTCACCTACCTCCTTCATTCCCCATATGGCCAAGGGTTCCGCCAAACCATTTCCTGAACAGTTTCCAGTCGATCCGACCTCCCTTGACAACACTACAGGCAGGACAAACAAACATAATTTACAAACATCTAAAGTTATCGCCGCAGCCCCGGCGTTCCCCCTGCCACACATCCTCGCCCCTGCAGTGACTGTGAGGAGTGATTCAATCACGGACTGCAGATTAAATCCGCGAGATTGTGTGTAGGTCACAAGTGTTGATGCGTAACCACGAAAGATCCGGCATCAAGTGTCCTGCTTTGCACTCCTGCTTTCGGGTAGAGCAGTGCTTATGGGCCGGGAACGCCGGGTAAGAATATCAGATAGTCCCGGGAAAGACGAACACCAATTCTGCTGTTGGTACCGCGAACGCTGGATGGATTAGCCGTGAATGCCTACCGTTTTGTGATATACACGAGGCATATCGAAATGCATTAGCAGGGTTAGAAACTAATAGTTTTTGTCCACTAGTCCTTATAATGATAACATATAGCAAAACCTTTAAAATGGGCCAATTTCTACTAGTCCATAGGATACCTTTAATATTGGGCACTTTGGTAAAGACTACAGGACTAGTGCCAATTTCAAACGCTGATTAGTATCATACGCTTTATGATATATACGATTTATTCAGAAAGAGTACAATTACATAAAATGAATAAAACCCAAATGCAATTAATTTAAACAGATCTCGAGATTCTCAACTTACATGCGGTGAGTCTATACTCACGATGCGGATGAGATCACATATATTTTCGGTGTATACTTTCTTTTGACAAACAGTTTACACTAAACAAGTTAAACGAGTTACTGCACCCCGTATAGAATTTTTAAATAGTTCGTCCCTTGCAGACAATGGCTGACAGAAGCTGTATACAACCGTACATGCCAGCTGTATCTGGGACGCAAGCCGGGTGTGTGACATTGCATTCTTTCGAGATGAAATCCAATATACCTTACCTCATCCAACAGCAGGATCCCGCATTACCGCCCCACTGCGTACATTCTGCCTCCATAATTCGCACGGCAGAGTTACCTGAAACTTGACATTCAGTGATATATGACTGTTATGAGTATTTATTGTTTCATCTCATTTATAATTCTTTTAATTCCATAGGTTAATTCACCTCACGTGACGCAACCATATTTTATCACGTGATCAATATTGACGTCGTCTGCCTTAAAACAAGATTGCGCCCGTGAGTGGCAAGATATCTCTACGGAAGATCTCGACGGATTTTGTAATTGCAATAAAAGAAGAAATAAACTTAATAAATAAATTACGGTGTAAGAAAACAATTGATTAGTCTTGGCGAGGTCATTATGAGAGAAGACGACCCCTTGATCGGCCCCAACCACAGAGGTTAAGGTAATCGTACAGACTATGAGACATATATCCAATCCAATACAGCCCATGCAAGTCTATCATGTTTGGCAAGTCTAGATTACTGAGTACTGAACATGAAGAGAGTCTCTGGGCTATAACTGTACGTTAACAATTTTTTTTTCTAAAAATATGTTCATTTCAGAGACTACATGTTTGTGTACGGTTAAGGGTATAATGCACCATTATTTCTTGAATCCTAATGTCAAATACATAAGCTTAGAGTGATGCTCCAAGTTGTGTATGCAAGAGCTTGTGCTGTATCTCCTTCAGAAATAACAGGGGCGGTCGGGTAGCCTAGTGGTTAAAGCGTTCGCTCGTCACGCCGAAGACCCGGGTTCGATTCCCGACATGGGTACAATGTGTGAAGCCCATTTATGGTGTCCCATGATATTGCTGGAATATTTCTAAAAGCGGCTTAAAACCATACTCACCCACTCACTCACTCAGAAATAACACGAGTAATTGAAAACCAAGCTGTTGATTTACAGTGGAGTGCCCCGGAGATGAAACGCCATTACACCTCACCTACTATGAAGTGTGTTATTTCTCTCATGATGAAACATTGAGTCATGATATAATTAATAGAGAATTTGAGCAGATCCACGTGAAATATGTGTTCACAAAATCGTAAAAAGAGAAATAACTTTATCAAATTCATCAGACATGTCTAAAATTAACTGGTCTGGTCATTCTGAAAGAAAATAGGAAACTATTTAATGATTGATATCTCCTTCTGCGTGCGGCCGTTGTCTTAAATGAAATATCAGCTACCCAGTGGACCATGGTCCCTTTTGAGGTCAAACTGACAACAAATAATATCTGCAAAATTTTAACCACCACTAAACGCTTCACGAAAGACGTGAGCAGATGTTTACCATCAAGTGTTGACATGGAAGATGTGACCGTTAATAAACACTAGTGAGTGAGTGAGTGAGTGAGTGAGTGTGTGAGTGAGTATGGTGTAATGCCGCTTTTAACAGTATTCCAGTTATATCTCGGCGTGTCAGCTTAATGTGGGAGGACGTTTACCACTTCGGTGAAACCGGCGAGCACGGGTATGGTGCTGACAAACCTAGAAACATGATCTGGGCGAACCGGGATTCGAACCCACAATCATAGGATTCTGGCGTGCCCAAGGGACGCAACTCTGCACAGCGAATCGCGGCGCCTTAGACGACTGGGTCACCCGTGCCCACCCCCACCCCCAGTACGACCAGAGAACGCAGCTCCTCAACTGCTCACCCAATAACTGCCATACGTGGAATGTTTCAGCTTCATTAGATGGCTGTCCGCTTTTATTGTTTGATTATGTGATATGTTATGTCCTTTGGCAGCCACCCGTGAAGATTCCGGGTTAGAACCGGTCTTCAGCAACCCATGCTTGTTGTAAGAGGCGACTAACGGGATTGCGTAGATCAATGCTCATGGTGTCAATCACTGGATTGTCTCGTCCAGACTCTATTATTTACAAAGACCGCCGTCATATAGCTGGAATATTGCTGAGTGTGGCGTTAAACAACAAACAAACAATCTTTGGCAGCCATATTGGATTTAAGGTTTTTCAAGTTCGTGTTGAGTTCTTTAAGGGTACATGACTTCCAAAATCTTCCATGAAACTACCAGGTGCAACGCATCTATTCGTGTGTATGCCTAGGTCCTAGTCCGTTGTGGTGTTAAAACGGGTTCTGTGTCTAAAATCTATTGATCGTTTTGAAGAGCGTGTATCTCAGAAAATAAGATATAATTAATTGAACAACATGTTCTAAACTATGGCCCCTCAACCGCTCGTCCAATAACAATCAGATTTGCAAGTTTGTAGTATCATCACATGCCAGTCACTCTTTGACTAAGGTCATAGGTCATGTAGCTTGGCAGCCATTTTGGATTTAACTTTATGAGTGTGCTGTTTACGTTATTCAGGTAGCATGTCTTCCGCAACATTCTCCTCTGAAATTACCCGTTGAAATACATCAACATGTTCTGTATATGGTCCTACATCAAGCGATGATCTAACGCTGTTCGAAAATGTCATTTATTGGCCGACAAATCGGACTTTTCATCAGATAGATTTTCTCATAAATTTAGCTTTAAAATTTGGTAACTTCCTCAGATCTGAATTGAAAACGTTGTACATATTGTGGTCTTGAGTGCCTGTCACCAGTGACGCGACTTGGCAGCTATACTTGATTCTGCTTTCTAAAGAAGAACTGACAATTAATGCCAAACCAGAAATTACCAATAACTTGGCAACTTAGTCGGATAACGTTTACAATAATGCACTTTCAGAAATAAGAAAATATGCAAAGTGCATTTAATTTACGTCAGACCATACGTCGATGTAAGGCAGTTTGGTGGTTATTAAAATAGCAACGACAGTGCAGTGTACACGGTGCTTCTGAAGGCTGGTGTGAAATGAGCATCGGACTCTATTCGGACGTTACTGTGTGGAGCAGATCAGTACTAAGATACAATTTCGCAGCTATTTGTAAAGAGACTCATATCCTGTTCTTTTATGTACGCTTCCACTGGAAAGACAAACAGTAAAGGAGTGAGTGAGTGAGTTGGGTTTAACGCCGCTTTTAACAGTATTCTAGTTATATCGCGGCGTGTCAGCTTAATGTGGGAGGAAAGCCCGAAGTGATGCAGGTCTCAGACGTTTACCACTTCGGTGAAACCCACGAGCACGGGTATGGTGCTGACAAACCTAGGAACATAATCGTGGCGAACCGGGATTCGAACCCACAATCATAGGTTTCTGGCGTGTCCAGGGACGCAACTCTGCACAGCGAATCGCGGCGCCTTAGACGACTGGGCCACCCGTGCCCCCAACAATAAAGGAATCGCGCCAACCACATATAATTAAAAACGGTTCAATAACTAAAACAGTTTTAATTAAGTCCATGCAATATACGATACAGCTGATACGTTTTCCTTGTAGTCTTTCAGCATCGGCATACTGAACGGAAGAGTATGCCTAGCCACTGTGTATTCATCATAATGCACTTAATGGATTTGTCACGTGAGCGTCAGATTAAGCTTACGTGCCCCACAACAACATACCCGAGGTAATCGAAGCTATTCTTGGGGTTAAAACTAGAGCCGTTATCCTTCTTAACATTACAGCAACGTCGACTTCTCCTTGACCGATCATGCACTTCAACTCGCGTTAATGCAGGTGGACAACGGTAATGTGTGAACGCTGGACATGTACAATCGTTGTCTCACCTGAGCACAGGTAAGTCTGTTGATTTATGTGTTTAATATTCATCTTATACAGGTGACGGGAGCCAGGTATCGATTATGGCTGTAGGCATTGCTGATCTTTTGAACCTGAAGCTGCGAGAAGCGATTACCTGGCTTGCTTTGTTACCTGTGTGTATTGGTGATCTGCTTATTCTGTAAGAAGGGGTTGAATTCGAGTGAAAATGTCATCTAGAGACCCGTCTCTTAGTGTTACTAACGATGTTGGTAATATAGGATACATAACACGTCCACGCTACATACATATAGTAGTATTATCGTATTTTAGTATTTTAAATCATTTCCAAGTTTGTGTCCACACAAGATTAGCAATGTTATCATGAACAGACTATACTACTACTACTACTACTACTACTACTACTACTACTACTACTACTGGCAATGGTGATAACTCCTACTACTGCCACTACTACTACTGCCACTTCTACTACTACTACTAAAATAGTAATAATAATAATGACAATTGTGATAACTACTACTACTGCCACTGCCACTACTACTACTACTACTACTACTACTACTACTACAATAGTAATAATAATGGCAAGATTAGCAATGTTATCATGAACAGACTATACTACTACTACTACTACTACTACTACTACTACTAAAATAGTAATAATAATGGCAAGATTAGCAATGTTATCATGAACAGACTATACTACTAGTACTACTACTACTACTACTACTACTACTACTACTTGCAATGGTGATAACTCCTACTGCCACTACTACTACTACTACTACTACTACTACTAATGCTACTAGGCACGAATGACGCTTGTATCCGTACATAAGAGAAGGTTTGTGCGTTACGATTCACTTCTTGATTAAATGTCTCTTGAAAGTCAATACCTGTGACGAGGCACACTACAAACAACAAACACCAGCAAGGCCTAATCAATACTGCAATCAGAAAAGATTTGAGCGTGACTATTTAAGACCAAGACTGGATTTTAGCTAGGGTGTTACTAGTAGAATAGGAATACTGTATGATATACTATATATTATAGCTTAGACTAACATTTAGTCTCTGAAATCTTATATTACACAATATCCTTCTTGACTCTAAAAATAAAAAAATTCCCTTTGCTGTGGAATAGAGCTAGCTTGAGCTGGCTAGACTTGCTTTTGTATGCATTTCTAGATTTAAAAAACCTTAATATAAAATTATTATTTTTTCATAAAATAAATATATTCCACGGTCATGGTGCAGGACTAAGTATAGCTAGGCATGACGAATAAGTTAACCCATTTTACACTGAAAAACAGAAGAACATAAGCAAACACAAAATGCTCTGGGTTAAGTCTGAAATACCGTATTTCCACTTATAAGGGATTTTAACACATAAATAGTCTATTTGACATGGTGCAATTTCTGAAAGTCCGGAAGGTAATAGTTTCTTTGATTTATCAAATTTCTATTTTATTTGGTAACGGCATTTCCTTAAATAGGCGATATCCAGATATCGCTTAATTTATTCGGGCGACAACAAAATAGTGAAATAAAAAGTAATTTTAAGCGCTGAAATTAATAATATTCCAGACGTTTATTAGAGAAAAAACGATATGCTATGCGCAACTTCGGTGTGTGATTGCATGTGAGAGCGTGGTGGTTATAACGGTGTTTTGTTGCATGGCTAGGGCAAGATGGAGTGATCGCGTGAGTCATTCTCATTTACCGTTTGACTGTTTAACAGCTGATATGGGTTGTCAAGGCCAACTTGTTACCATATACAATTTTAAAATTAATTACAACAAAGCGTTATTTCTGTATTGTTGACTTTTATCAGCTTGTTTCATTTCCGCATGCGCAGTTGGTATATTTGTAACCGTATGTGACAATGCTATATGATTCGGTTCTGGTAAATATACATCTCCGTATGATAATTACCGGGTTCCGCTGATGTTATGCGCAACCGCCGAACACATTCGGTCATAATCATATAGGTACTGGTCGTGACACTAGTTTTATGCATACGTTTACGGGGATTACCGAGGAAAAGTTTTACGAAGCGACTCGTGTTATTCCGGGACAAGCCGAAGAGCGACTCTAATGGCCATTTTTGCGACCGGGTTCCGTCTTAGCACAAACGGGCATACCTAAAACGATTGTCAACTCGTTGCGTAATGGTTCACATATATTTCCTCATATATTATATATATTTCAGATGCAATTTAAAACACACCGGGACATGCGGATTTATACAGTATGATTGAACACATTTAACTGTGTCTTGGTATAGTTTTAGATGCAAGACATATGTTAAATCAAAAATTATTTCTGAGAGATTCTTTGACGAAGAACTTGAAGTCATACGCCCATTCTGATTGTTTTGTCGTATTTTCGCACATAACATTCATCGATAGGGGGACGAGTCTTCTTGCAGGTTACGGAAAGGGGCGAGTGGTGACGAATGGCCGCGAAAACGAAGAAGAAGACTGTTGGATTTGACAAAAAAATGACAAACGTAAGGCTGAAAACAGTCGCTGAAACACTGGAAACTTCAGGTCTAAAACACAAATATGACACCCGTGTCAAATACATCACCGTCGAATGTTTGTTTTATTTTAGCCATCATTAAGCATGTTGTATACAGTAAACTACGGTTATAACGAACTCAAAGGGACCGCTGCCTTTAGTTTAGTTGTAAGTTATAACCGTTGATCGTTATAGGCATATGTGCAACGTATATACAGCAAATGGCCGGGACGAAAAAGACCAGTTTGTTGTATTCGTCAGTTCGTTATAAGCGTGTTCGTTATAAACGTAGTTTGCAGTACTTTCATTTTCCCGGCAGTTTAAATGGGGCCGAAAACTCGTACAACCATCGACTCATCCTTTCGTTATCACGAGATGGTTAGAGGTAATAAAAGTCCCTGGCTTGACAAGCATGAAGCTGTTAAGTTAAAACGTCTCTTATTTGAAGACTATATCTATAGCACAAAATTAAAAAAAAACATCTGCGTAAGTCTGCACGTGCGTTAGGTATGCATGTATTTTCACATCAACGCCGCACGGTCACCGATGATTATTGCGTCTAAACAGTCTTGCGTGTAATAAATGCATTATAGCACCGGAGAAGAGGTTCGCTGTCGTTGGGCACATTTTGTTCACACCATTTACTGTTGGTTAAGCGGAACACTTCCACGTTGTTTGTTTGTTTATTTGTTGTTTTACTCCGCACTACACAATATTCCAGCTATATGACGGCGGTCTGTAAATAATCGAGTCTGGACCACACAATTGACATCAAGAGCATCGATCCACGCAATTGGGATACGATGATATGCGTTAGCAAGCCTGACTACCTGATTCCGTTCGACGCCCCGGCTTACGACAAGTATAGTCGCCTTTTACGCGTCAAGCATGGGTTGCTGAAGACCTATTTTACCCCACATCTTCACGGGTCTGTAAAATACGTGATTTTGACGGGGTAAGTTCAAGACAAAACATTCTAATTTTGTCGATTGTATGTGCGTTCTTTCAGAGACAATATACCGGTCTCTGATTCTATATATAATGGACAAACCTCTGGTAATGATTTGTTAAGACTCCGTTCCAGCTGTTTATTGTGGCGAGTAGTTAAAACAACAACCGGAATTGTTTACTGTTTGATTATAATAAATGAACAATTGAACTATTTGTTGTCGGTTTAAATTACGCCCTTATTACATGTATAACATTAACAGATATCACTCACTCACTCATTCACTCACTCACTCACTCACTCACTCACTCACTCACTCATCGGCATGTTGATCATGATATTAGCCACTGGTTTAAATGTCCCAGACTCGATTATTTATTTACAGGCTGACGTGATATAACGTGATATTGCTTTCTGCGACTAAAACCAAAAAACCCTGGGGATTCCGCGCTAGAATAGGTCCCCAGCAGCCTATGTTGGTCGTGATGGGCGACTAAGTGGATCAGGTGGTCAGGTTCAGTGTCTTGGCTAGGTGTTTGATTTTTTCGCATGGATTGTTGCTCGTGATATCAATCACTGAAATTTCGAATATTTACAGCCCGCCGCCATATAGTTGAAACCAACACACGCACACGCACGCACACACACACACACACACTCTCTCTCTCACCCACACCCACACACCAACACCCACCCACATACCAACACCCACACTCAACCCACCCACACTTGCGCGGGGACCAGAAACAAAGACTTGCTCCAAAATCAACAAACACTAACCATTAATTAAATTCTTCTTCCGGAACTAAACAATATTATCTCTCCAGAGGCCATAGGGAGGAAAATACCGCAGCCTCTATTCTGGGTACAAAAGGTAATTGTGCTATATTTCCTCATCAACTTATCTATGTTTCCTTATGACTTCTGTACAAAACTATAAACACACAGTCCAAACAATAATTTAATTTACGCTTTGATATTTGGTGGGTTATCATGAAACGTAAAGCTGTCCATTGGTCAATTCTTTATTCGGTTACGGTGTTAATGCGATTGTAACCCATGACCGATCAGATCACAGAACTTTCTATACGTCGCCTGAAGCGCATCCACGAAACCGGGGTATCTAATCGAAAACGCCCCGATATGCGGCCCAGTGGCACCCTGGAGAGTTTTTCACATCTGGCTCACCTTACATCGGAAAGGTATATCACACAACATCTTTGACGGCAGTTTCGGCTGCATTTAACAAAGTGGATGCTGCTCTCGAGTGTATCACATCACTCGCTAATGTTCATGGGTCGGTGAGACTGATCAAGCAAGGCTTATGTTGTGAGTAGATATTGTTGTTTAAACAAAATGCGTTTGTTTCTTTTGTTTTTAAAATGTACATATTGTGTGACATACCTGCATAGTATGTCATTCAATGTGTGTTTTCTGTGATGATTTTGTAAAAAAATATCTTGTTGCTTGGTAAGTTTTGGTGTATTTAGTCCTCTTGGACTAATTCAACCCGATGCGTAGAACACACGCTTTTCGGGGACTTAGAGTGGCAAATTATAGATTATCGCTACAATAATTACTTTTATGCATATGTTTGTATTCTGTCTATTGTCGCTTTTGAAAAATGATATAACCTCGATAGTTCTTTAATGCAAAGAATGCAAATTACTTTGTCGAATAAGGTGTTATCAAAAGGCAACAGTCTGTCAGTGTGTCCTAGTAGCATCGGGTAACTGTTTGATCGAGCCTGATTGTTTGACCTCCCACCTGACAGCTTGGAACGCTGCTTTTCCTACACCACTTGTTTGGTCCAAAGTCGATTAATTACAGTCCCCGTGGTGTTGTTTGTTTGATTTCTAACGCTGCCAGAAACCTATGATTGTTGGTTCGAATCCCGGTTCGCCCCGATTATGTTTCTAGGTTTGTGGGCACCATACCCGTGCTCGTGGGTTTCACCGAAGTGGTAAACGTCTGAGACCTGCATCACTTCGGGCTTTCCTCCCACATTAAGCTGACGTGCCGCGATATAACTGGAATACTGTTAAAAGTGGCGTTAATCCCAACTCACTCACTCACTCTAACGTTGCACTATTCCTGCTATATGACGGCGTTCTGTAAATACTCTGGTATCAGGAGCATTGATCTACACAATCACTACTTTGGTGAAACCAAGAGCATTAAATTCACCCCCACACCAAGGATCATAATCGAAACGAATCTCAGATTCAAACTCAGACTCAGCAGAGTCATATTGCACTAGGCTACTGATTCACCCAGACCCGTGAAGATCCGGGGTAGAACAGGTCTTCAGCAACCCATGCTTGCTGTAAAAGGCGACTAGGTTTGTCGTAAGAGGCGACTAAAAGGATCGGGTTGTCAGGCTCGCTGACTTGGTTAATGCATATCATCGTATCCAAATTGCGTGGATCGATGCTCATGATGTTATTCACTGGATTGTGTGGTCCAGACTCAATTATGTACAGACAGCCGCCATATTTCTGAGAGCGGCGTTAAACAACAAGCAAACAATACTGAGTCACCAACCCCAGGAATATGTCGAGGTAATGATGAGCAAACATCGAGATAAGCGAAATTCGAGTTAGTCACTTAGCAGATATTCCAATCATGAATGTATGAATTATACTGAAATATAAACGACAGCGTTGGCGCAAAACGTTAAATCAATCATACATGCACATTTTACACAAATAGTTCTTTCAATCATGATAAAATACCCTTTGTATTCATTGTGAAAAGGCAGCAGATTTCGTTGGAACGAGAATGACACACACCTCTAGGTCAATTATTACCTATGTACAGAGACCATATAATAGATAATCTATTATATCGTCTCTGCCTATATAGCATAACCCTTAGCCAGCTTACGTTAATAATTGGCAAGGTATATACAGTCTATACAAGGCAGTGTCAAGTCGCTACTGGAAGACAACTTAATTGTCTGTACGAATTGTCTTCAAAAGACGCACCCGTATATACTATACCTACCTTTTCAACAGATATGATTTACATTTAGACATCGACTTGTTATTGAACAAGCTGTCTGTAAACCCTATTGTCCATGTCTGAGAAACACGGGCAAATTAACTTGTATTCGCGCCAGGTGTATTGTAACAGTACAAAATAATCACATTACATGAGTTAGTCTTTGTTCGAGTTATCGCCTTATCAGATTAACATCTAGCAATAAAATGTTAAAACGCATTATGTTCATCAAAGCGATCGTGGTTAGGAAGGGGAGATAACCCGTACGACCGTTAGTCACAAGGAGTCCCGCGAGAGTACTGCAAGGGTTATGTTGAGATATCGTTTTTAGACATTTATTTTTTAATCAGAAAAACAATTCCTATGATTGAACACGATATATAGCTAAGATGAAGTTGGCTCTTCTGTGTATATAATTCATATATAAAATTCATGCATGAAAACACCACAATCATTAAATTCATCATTAGTATTTTAAACATGAAAAGGCGCTGCATGTGAACGTTTAGGTTAAGAAGCCCAAGATCTGATATGAAATGAAGTGTTAACTGACATCGCTTTCAATCTTATGGAGAGGTTCATAACAATATCGTATCCTTTCTCAAGAAGGCAAATAATTTGAAATAACTAACTGTTTTTGCGTTCAGTGAAACTTCCCATTATCAGCCAGCACAGTGTACAACATGTAAACATGTAACATTAGATTTAAACGTACTGTAAACTAGAAGATGATAATGATTATGACAATATCCTCAGCTGTAACGATTGATCATTCTTCTAAGTGTGTACACAACAAGCACTGGTCACCCCTGATTAGCTGAATGTTGTTTTAATGTATATTGGGATATGGCATACCTAAATTCTGTTTCTCTTTCACACGTCTGTACATCTTAATAGTCGAATAACAAGCAAACCGTTCACCATAACTTGTGCCAAGGACACAAGCATTGCCAGATAGAATTTGAATTGAAACCTTATTTTTCAAATATTTGAAACTTTAAAATATCCTTTCAAGCCTGTGGGTTCCATCTTCCATCCAAAACAACACCGACACATTTTAAATCTTCAAAGAAAAAAAAAAAAAATTAAACTTGTACCCGAAAATCACAATATGATCATAAGAACATGTACAGTTACTTTTGCCTGTGAGTATTTAGCTCCCCACGTCAGGTAGCTGGACACGATATCTTGCCCATAGTGATGAGTTCATTGTGGTTTAAATCCCAGATTAAGTTGGTCTAGACTCCATAATGTAGCTACTATCTGGTGTAGATATGCTGACATATGTTGATAGTATAGGAATGTGGTAAGACCTGTGATCTGTGCCTACAGCAAGGCTATGCAGAGGCTCATTCATTCAGGGTTGCACACTAAATCTGGAACCTAGCCAGGGCCACAGGCGGGCAGAATTTACACGAAGGCTTTGGAAAGTACGGGGTTAAGTTGATAACGCTAGTTTATATTTGAACTACCTACCCGTGATATATATACATAATTGTTCAAAGAAAATGCGGTTTTTAAATGTTTTCAGCGATCGTAGAATTTGAACCAAAAGACAGAAGACAACAAATAGAGCAGCGTCAAACCGAATAATCTCCAACTGAAAATACTGATTCCCCAACATGAAGTTAGAAATTCTAAACACAATATAGTCAAGGATGGTCTTTTATGACATGAACTTCGTAAGTCTAAATCCTTTATAGTCAAGGGGAGATCTTTTATGACATTAATTTCGTAATTCTAAATCCTACAGTCAAGGGGGATCTATTGTTACATTAATTTCGTAATTCTAGAGCATGCATATATAAGTAAGGATGATATCTGCTGACATTAACAGCATAATTCTAGATCGTATATAGTGAAGCATTTCGTAATTTCAAATCACACATATACATATACGAGTAAGGATGGCATTTTCTGTCTTTAACTGCGTAATTCTAAGTCTTGCACATGTACTAAAGGTTGATATGTTATGACATTAACATCGTAAGTCCAGATCATGCATAGATTGTGAAGAATGGTATCTTCTGACTTTCACTACGTCATTCTAGATCGAATGCAATTTAGGATAAAATATTATGACATTAACATCGTAATTCCAGATCATAGATACTGAACGGGGATATGTTATGACTTGAAGTTCGCAAGTTTCTATCTTATACTGAAAAAATACACTTTATGACAGGAAGTTCGTCATTCTTGATCATATACAGTAACAGACGACACTTTATGACATTGATACTCTGGTAATTTAGTCGTTTATAGTGTGTGTTTTTCTATGACATGAATTTCGTACAATTCTAAGGCATGTATACGGGGGATATGGTTACCACGGCACAGTCAGTTGTAGTTCAGCAATATCCAACCTCATTAAAATCAGATCTTAGTTTTCGCTACCGATAAACAAAGATCTGAGGACATCCCATTACGGGTCACGTCAGACCGACCTTGCGCGAACTTTGAACGACCAATGGAATGACCAATGAGAATGCAGCTTCCTCGTGCTTTACGGCACAAACTTCACATTGGCGACTACGCTTCGAAACATATTTTGACAAATTCTCGATTACAAATTTGAAACCTGAACAAAAAAACCATTCTGGAATGGCTAATAGATGGTCAAGATTGTAAGGATTCAGTCGTTAAACCCGTAACTATCGTTCGGAATACCCCATGTTAAAGTTTTCGAGATTGCATGATTAGAAATCACATTCCGACTGTCAGTTTCATAATCTGGTAAGCGACGCACTGATTGGTCGGATGAAAGGTCGTTCTGACGGGATGTCTTCAGATCTTTGTTTAGCGGTAGCGAGAACTAAGGTCTGATTTTAATGAGATTGAACAATATCACGACATCCTGTAAGTAGTCGAGTCGGGACCAGACAAACCATGCACTCGTTAACATTATAAGTAATGTCGGGGTGTGACGACACACGGTCAAACATACACGTCACACATTGTACAACAACGTCGGAGTTCAACTCTTCGCCAAACACACACATCACACATTGAGTATAAGTCTTGACCCCGCAGTGTCACCTTATATCAAAGAAATCATTTTTCGGAAAATAATGCTTTTAGAGAATTTATATACTGATTAATGTCTAAACTTGACGATGTCCGGCAAAAGAAAGAAAGTCTTTTTTTATAATGTACTCTAACAAGCCTGGCAAGACCGTTCACTTGTTGGTGAAGGTTCAAGTCATTTATCGTTTCCTCATAATCTCTTCCTGGTGCTGCTGTTTGAGTTGGCACCGCGGTGTTGTGATGTAGGGCCAGTGTTCTTACCTCCGGGTTATCCTGTATATGATATTGGGGCGAGACCA